TATTCTTAACAAAGTGTTTTAGCTGTCACCATCAGAGGCACATGCCACAATTCTGGTGATGTCTCTGTTGAAAGTGGGAGTATCTGAAGAAGAAAGTATTCTTTCTGCCTCATGAAACTAGATAAAGAGAGTGATTTCACAGCCTTTACTGTGAGGAAATCCCTTTCCATTTCTAGGCTCTTTTGATAACTAGTGTATTTCTGTAATAGATATGGTAATACAAGACAGAGTTTGTAAATATGTCACATCTGCTGATGTGACAAAGAATCCATGTCTCCATGATAAAATCATTTTCTCTTATAATGCAATTAGTTCAGGTGAGAAAATAGTTTGATAATTTAAACATTTATATATTTGTATTTACCAGTCATCATATTGGTAGATCACACTGGTAGATCCTGTAGAATGTGGTCATTTTAATTTTACTCCTGTCTGATAGTAATGAGATGGTAGCATGTCATGCTCTCTGATTTTAACTTGTAAATGTGATATGCAACCAGAATTTGCATATGATTTGGGCAAAGAATCAAATTACATTTGAAAATCATGTAAAGTTTTGCTGAATTGAGCCTACTTGTTACCTAATTTCATCATCCTTGTCATCACTGTCCTCTTTGAAAAAAGAGATGTCTAGCCCATAATATCACAAAGGTAGAAAAGTTGCATTATAAGTCAGATCTTCAGCCCTTGTTTCAGTTTGATTAACATGTTATCAAGAGTAGAATAGATATATGCATGAAATAGTGATTGATTTCTCTGGACATCTATCTGGTTATAACAAGTGAGGACATGTGATGGATGATTTCTAAGTCCTGATTTTACCCTATAAACATTTTTACTTTTCTAACATAGACATTACTGGAAGCATTCTCCTGTAGTCCATTTGGGAACCCTAAAAAATCCACCATCTACATAGTCGATAATAAACACAAGTGTATATCTCATAGTTTTGGATGTAGGGAACTTGGACATCAAGGCACCAGCAAAGTTGCAGTGTCATGAGGGCCTAGTTTCTCCATTTCAAGTCTTCCTGCTCCAGCCATGTGTAGCAGAGAGAGAACTCAGATTCTGAAAGAGTACTTTTTTATGAAAAGACTAAAATACCCCCAAATCACCTCACAGAATCCCCCACTTCTTCACTCTGTCATCTTGGAAATAATTGTCTAAATATCTGGACTTTGAAGAGACAAACCTATGTTTATTATTAAATATGTATGTGGTCAGGTATACATTTGTTTGGGCAGATAATTACATTATGTGTTTTGTCATAAAACAATTTATGTATCAATGGCTATTGTTTGAATATTATTTTTGAACTCCTTCAGGGTTTAATCTCTATTATGAAGTATTTAGAAGATAGAGATGATTTATTTATTTGATCTGGGTTTTATGAATTTAGTCTCTGGGAGGTGATTAAGAATAATTATTCATCAGTGTGGAGGTCCATCATTGACTCCAGGAAAACCCATATAAAGCAGGAGAGAGACAGTGCACACATAGAAACTCACACACATAATTGCTCATATTCGCACACATGTGCCCACATATACAAATATGTGGACGCTCACACAGATATACATGTGATGTCTATTCTAGTTACTGCCATGTGATTCTCTGTGCCAGCAATTCATCACCAAAACAGGTCTAAAGCTGCACATGCATCACTCTAAACCCCAAGTCTTCCTCTTTATGACAGATGCAGTCTATATGCATTGTGTTATCATCAATAGACAACAGAACAATGCACCATAAACAAAGAAACTACAGTCATCACCATCATTCACAGTGCAATTCCAGCTTTGATGTGGAACTAAGGTTGCTTGAAGCCGCACTAGGTGAGGAACCTGAAGGTTCTTCATTGAGTCACCTTGACACTGATACAAGAACCCCCTCCCAATTATTCTAAACCACTCATTTCAAACAGAAGCCCACTCTGTATTTTTTCACAGTTTCTACACCTTATCCAGTAGAGCATGGTTCCAATAAGTAAGGCAGCACACACACAGTTTATGGCATAATGATTACCCCCTTCACTACACAAACACAATTCTGAACAATGACATAGAATGAAAGAAAGAAAAACACCATGATAAAATCTTTATGACTCATTTAATCTTCTTATGATGTTATAGTAAAACACAGTTCTTGAATCTGTAAAGTGCAATACTGACACACCAGCAAATTTATTCCATGGTAATAATCAGCTGATAGGTGAAAATACCACACTGGGCTTCACAGGTTGGAAGAAGGGTTATACCCATTTACTGAGGATACTGTCTGTGAAGCCCAAACCCATTAATGAGTTTTTGAAATCTAATCATTTTATAAGGGCCCCAACTCCTAAAAAGGCTTCCTATTGGTTATTAGATTTTTAACTAATTGAATTTGAAGAATTTGTAAATATCATCTGACTTTCACTTGACAAACTGACCATATTTTGTGCAACAGCAGAGAATATTTGGTATAACATGCAAGAAAACCCAGATCACTCAAGAAGACTTTAGCAAAAACTTATTGCAAATGAATATAATGATCACAGAAACTGTTATTGTAACACCCCTCATTCCAAGACAGTAAGCCACTCTCCTAAGGAAAAACTTAACATGTAGGGTAGACCTTCCTTCAACATTGAAGGAGCATCCTGTATCCTCCAGATTGTTAATTGATACAGTTACTCACAAAAAGCTTTAATAACTTATATAGTCACAGGTACTGAAATTCTATATTTTCTCTTAACCACACTTATGTGTTAGGATCATAGCATGACACATTATGTCATTTCTTACATGCATGAAGATTTATAAGAAATCATAGAAATGAATAAACCATTTTAGAGGTAAAAAAGAACCTTAGGTGTCAACTGAAATTTCCTGCTATCCCATATACTATCAAGCTTCCCAATAGATTATTTTCCCCATAAAAATACCGAAGTGTAAACTATGAGGTTTTAATTTTGATCACTGTAGCATCCCATGCACCTGATACCTGATACCTTTTTCTGTATGAGTACTGCAAGTCCTTCAATTATACAGCTAAGTGTGTTTCCCTCATAAAATGAAGTTATTGGCTCACATCACACTTGAGTAAAATAAAATCTTGAATTGTAGAGGATGTTTTAAATTTAGCAATATATTTTTCATTTATCCATATTAAATTTTACAGTGCAGTAGATAAAACTTGTAGATTTCTCATGATATTTAAGCGATCCCACAGTAGTTTGCCATTCCATATTTTTGACATGAAATTAGATGGGGGATTTCAGTAAGTCATGATTCCAGACTGTAAAGAATGTTTTAAAAATTCCTCATAGTGGGGGCCAAGTTAGAGGGCGTCTAAAATTGTGCTTGCCACATAAGCCTGATGAACTGATTGATCCCTGAAAGGAAAGAGCCACTCCAGCACGTTGTCCTCTGACTGCCATGTATGAGGTATGGGGCACTCAGCACACTTTATGCACACATATACAAGACAACAATAATTGATAGTATGAAACCATCACATAATATCAAGGTTAATTCTAGCCCATCAATATCAGTTTTACATGAACTTTCTGTAGTGAGAATACTTACTATTCATTTCTTAGCATTTCACAAGAGAAAAAATATAGTGACTAGGTGCAACAGTTCTGTAATGCCTACATACTTCAAAATATCATCTTACATATGGCAAATGCATACTGTGTCATATAAATTAAATGTAGTAAACAAAATTTCAAGGCCAAAATAATGGAGATAATACATCCCATATTAGCTATATTCCACAAAACATATAAATTGTAATGAATATTTTTAAAATCCAGCCTCTAGAAGACTCTTATCAAAGGGATCCTGCACTAAATGTGGCTGAGCAATGCAACATGAGCCTCCAAAAATGACACTAATAATGTCTTCATATTCTAGTCTAGAAAATATGAGATTATTTTTCAAATGCCACAAGGAAATAAAGATCCAAAACCTCCAGCATTTTAATTAACCACTGAGATGAAGACAGAGCCTTCACCATGTATAAACAATGAACAGCTGGGCAGGATATCTAACTCACTTGAAGTCCATTATACTGTTTAGAAAGATCAAGTGACATTCAAGGATTCTTGTGCCACTGAATGCCCCCAGCTGCAGAATTAGAAAGGAATTGAAAGCCAAAAGTGTTTGTGTGTTTTATAAAACATTTATCTGAAACTTTTAACAATTCTGAACTTAAAAATCCTGGGCACGCTGTGCTGTTTCCATCAAGACATGCCTTAGCAGGCTCTGAACTCTTTCTCATTTCTATTTAAACAAAATGCATAGCTTCAAAATATAAGGCTTGTATCCTTTAAAGGGGAATTGCTTGGTATTTTCTTTCATTTGCTTATACTTGTGAACCATGATATAGCCTAACTTCCCCAAGAATGTCCCAATATATCTGTTCATGCAGCTTGTTATTCAGTAAGCTGTAATTTTCAAAATTAACAAAAGATGCACTTTTCAGTAGCTTTAAATATCATTCTGTCTCGTAGACATATTCTGATTTTTTCTCTAATTATCTGTCTTCCTAAACAATTCTCTCTCCCCTTACTTTAACTATGGCTCTGCAGTGGCAAACCTGTCTAGATTAAATGAGACTGCAGCAAGGAAAGTTTTCTAAAGCCAACATATCAAACATTTGTGAAGTTTAGGAAACCAGTCTTTAAACTCAAGCTTCATCAGAAACTACAGCATCACCTCCATATTCCTGGGAAGAGCTAACCTGAAGACAAACAAAATCCACCATTTCCCAGTGGAATAGCGTGTACCTGCTTAAGCAAGAGTATGATGCATATGTGGAAGTTAGTACGGAGCCTGCGAATGTAATTCTCACTGCATCCAAATGAGGGAGAAGGAACCTCACTGGTTTTAACCACTTATTAAGGAACACCTTGCTGTGCCCAAACTGCATGAAGAAAACCCCATTAGCTGCTGAGAAGCCTTGAGGCCCGGGGACACTTCTGAAGGACAAACAGCCAAGTGAGGGAACCTTACGCTCTTGGAAGGATGTGAAGAGCATCTGAAACCTGCTGTTGCGACTGCCCTCGTCCGCCCACATGCGGATCACCCCCAGGCCTGTGCGCAGCATGACGTCATTAGCCACGGTGCTGCAGAACTTGGCCTTCAAGTCCTCCACCGAGCTGCTTCCATCATACACGGCCACAAAGTTCCTTTTGCATTCATTTGAATTCTGCATCTCATAGTCCAAGAAACGTAAGTAAATCTGCAAAACAAAGATAAAACAATCTGCTCATTTCAAAAATGTAGAGCAAAGCTAGGACCTCCTTCTTTCTGTTCAGTCTCACAAGGCAGCCTTGATTGCAATCAACCCCATTATTTCCCCTTGCAGACCACAGGCAGGCAAACTAGCGCAAAGCAAATTAGCTTTAATATTTCTTTTCAAGTGTTATTATGCTGTTTTTTTTTTTTTTTAAGAAAAACTTAAATGCACCATTTCCTTTAGCTAAGTGTGTTTCTTTTCTTTTCTTTTTTTTTGGGGGGGGGTGTTGGATGATCCTGATGTCATCCAGTGATGTATCTGAAATCAGCTATTAGCTTTCAAAACTTATACACTGTTTCCTTTGGATATGGAAGTTCTTTAAATATTTCCTTATATATTCTTGTTCAAGTGTCCTTGTTACTTTATAGTGAAAAAATGTACATAAAGAACATTTTACATTAAAACTAAAGGAGCACAAAACATATTGAAAGACAGCTTCTGATTTTAGCCTGTGTAGATTACACTTATTCAGCATTTTGGTGAAACATACCAAAACATTTTAAAAGAACAATTTAGTCATTTTCATCATACTTAAAATCAGGCCACTTAGCTAAATCTACAAAAATAAAAGTTAAATTTGCACTTAGCATTTAATGATACAATGTATCATGACACCAAGTCATAGGTCATCATTAAATGTTCCTGACAATTTTGTGACTCACCTGTCCATGTACTCAGATGTGACATGACAACTCAGGTTTACAGAGTATAAATTACAAGTGAAACAGGAGGCCTCTGACTCCATAGTCCACACTCATTCCTGAGGACACACTGTATCTAACACACTGGTTCTTGGTGAAGAGCTGTTATCTGACTTGCTTCAAATGTGTATGAATCAATCACAAGTGATTGATTCCAGCAGGGATGAGATTAGAAAGGACTTGGTTCATTCATCCATCCATTCAGCAATATCCACATCCTAGACTTTTAATTGGTCACAGCCACAATTTACAGCATTGTGCCAGTAATAGTTAGCAATGAATGAAGCACTGAAAACAAAACTTAGCTTTCAAAACTTATACACTGTTTACCTTTGTATATGGAAGTTCTTTAAATATTTCCTTATATATTCTTGTTCAAGTATCCTTGTTACTTTATATTGAAAAAAATGTATATAAAGAACATTTTACATTAAAACTAAAGGAAGAAACTAAACTAAATAAAGGTATCATGTTAAATCATGATACCAATATAAAATGTGAAACTATAGGAATTATATACAATAAAAGTAAGAGAAACAAATTAGTGAAAGTGCAAAAAGAATGATTTCTAAATAAAACTGGCCTCCTTTGAACATACCAACTGTTTACAGTTTATTTTTTTAATCGTGCATATCTATAGACTATTTCATTTAAATTAGACTTGCTGCTAGCACACATACAAACTAAAGATATACATTTATTTTAATTTCACCTTCATCTTTCTATATTAACTTTCTGTTGTTATTTCTAAAACTATGAAACTCATGGGGCAACTTTTTCCCCAGATCTGAAAATGTCTACCCTGTTTAAAATTTCAATAATTCAGTTAATGCAAGCATATTATTGTCCTTGGCTGTTATTAAAAAGTAACCATTGGACCCTGTAGTTTCTCTTGCCAATCAGCTGTATGCCTGGCTGCCTGAAACAAGGCATTTCAACAATCTCCTAAAAACTCTGTGTGTCTGTCAGAGTCCGTGTCTGCCTTGTGGTTCAAGTCTCAACCAAAACTTAATACTAGTGAGTGCAAAGTCAATGATCCCATGACTCTGCCCCATATTCCCACCTGAGGCAGGGTACAACCATCCAGAAACCTTGCTCAGGCAAATGTCTTCCCTTTTGCCTTCTAACACTGTTTCTATTCCAACACTCTACACTCTGTACTCCAGTAGCAAGGGTTTGCTTGAAGGAACTGGCCCCTGCTGTTTGTAGCAACTTCTTGCAGATGTCTCAAAGTTGAGTTCAGTTATTACATTCCCAGGAGACAGCCTCCCACTGGACTGACTCCCTCACTCCAGCAGCCTTTTCCTTTATACCCTCCATGCTCAATTAGAATGGAACATATTTTAAGATTCAGTTCCTACTACCTTTCTACTCAACTAACTAGGACTCCCATTTTCTCTATTAATTTCATTTGTTCAGCATTCATCATTTATTGGCTTCCCATACACTCCACATTGTTTTCAGTATTATAAATAATAATTATGCACACAAGTTACAGTCAATAGTAACAATTGTCAAAGCAATCTATAATCTAGCCCTGAAGTACATGATATATAATACAATAAATGTACTGCAGGCTTGTGTGAGCTGTGATGTCTCACACCAGGTAACCCTAACATAACTTTGAAAAGGAAGTACAGACATACAGAAATGAAGTGATTAATGGAATTGAGCAATATTGAGAATACAATAGAATATTGCTGATTTTCATACAACAAAGGTTTCATATGTAGGATTTCTGTAGCTTCCCAGCTACTCTCGATGAATTTAAAGTTAGCTGACTTATCAAGACCATATACAATGCATAATCTAAGGAAGTTCCCACTGTCGCCAAGTACAGGTCATTGCTTTATGTAATTTGACAAAAATATTACCTACTACTCCCATCATCCATGTGGAGTTTATTCTTCCCAACATAATAAATTTCTAAAATTATCCACAGTATCCCAGAAATGCCTAGAATAAGTAAGCCTGATTTTGTTTTGTTTCTGTTTGGGGAAGCACAACTGTTTCTAGTACTTATGTTTCTGAAGATCCTGCTAGCAAAAGTAGGGAAGGAAATATTTCCCTAACAGCTTGGTAACTCCTCAGCGTTCTTTGCTAGGAATGTATTATACTTAAGTGTTCAGGGAAAATATCTGGGAGATGTACTTAATTCCTTCTTTTTCCCAGTTCTCTAAGTCCAGTCACTCTGCTTTCATGGGTAGGGCTTCTTGGTGGGGACATAATTAATATGAAACTGTGACTAATTAGAAAGCTACACTACAAATGAACACCATAGTGACCTGAATCAATCTTAGCAAAGATAACTGAAGTATGTGGGGACAGAGATGAACTTGAAATCTTGTTACATAGACAAGTCACAAAAAGGGGCTTTTGAAAATGGTAACTTCATCTTGGGTTTGAAAACCAGGTGGGTTGTGGTGTTATCTCATTGAAGAAAACAAGAAGGTAGGAAAGTTTGGAGACTCGAGAAAAGAATATGGCAGGCGCAGTGTGGGCTATCTAAATAAGCACAGTGACACAACATCATTCCGAGGATTAGGTACCCAGTGGTTGAAGAGAGCCAGTGACACCACTATATGTTGTCTTTATTCTCTAAGTGATCAGGTCAAACTGCCTTTTAAATATTTTAATATGGAGTTCTGTGGGGCACCCATCTTGGTCAAAGAAGTTTCTTGTTGGAAAATGTAGTAACTTATTTCTGTTCAAAGCTGAACAAGGGCATTTAATAAAACATGTATGTATCTCCTTCCAGGCTTGGAGAGCATTTCAGAAAGAGAGTCTGAGCTGGAGGGTGGGGACAAGTGAGGTGAAATGCTATTCTCTGCACATGGCAGGGCTATTGTATACGTGAACTCACAGCAGTGGCTACCTGTGGAAGTTCTATCTAAGATCAAGTCAATTAAGAAAATCTAGTATGGGTGTTGGGAGATGGGGCTCTCAAGACTCAGCCCTGGCTGAGGGGCTATTGGCAAATGATGGCGTCTGGCAGAGTGGAATAGTTATTGCTCTTTAGGCATATGGCCACTGAAACACCTCAGTGTTTGATGATCCAATACCCATTCACATATACGGAGAAGTAATTTGACTCACAATATTTAAATAAATACATAAATACAAGGAGGTCATAAAGTTGGGAGGATGTAGTGGGGGTTGTTTTGGGGAAAGAAAGTGGGTAAATGAGGCATGGCTATGGACAAGTTACATTTACACTGGTATGAAATTTTTAAATAATAAATAAAAAAGCCATAAATCTGAAAAATGGTAAATCTGAATTTTTGCCATATGTGTCACTGTGTCTCTCACATGCTCACATGAAATACTTTTAAAAAGAAGGCATCTTTCAGATGATCTCTATTAGAAGGACAGAGAAGGGACTAAAGCCATAACTCGATTAATAAATGCAGCAATATCAATGTGAGTCTCTAATACAAGAATTCAAACTTCTGTTTTATAGATTCTTTTCATCGTGTTGCTTTTCTGTGTCCTGAATAACAGCAGTCTGAAAGCTCTATTAAAATTAAATGAGAATCTGCCAATTTTTGTAAGATAACAAAAATGTTAGATGTCATAAAATGTCAGAACGCACATAGTATATTATAAACTACTTAGCAATAAACCCAGCATAGCTTATAACTCTCAAAAGAACATACAAATGCAACAGAGAAATTCAGATTTACCAGCCAGAGAAACGTCCACAAGAAATGACACATCACAGTCCATTTAATAAAATACAACACCAAATGACTGTGGTTATCAGTAGTTTGACAAAGTTTAACAACATATATTTTTTATTTGACACCTTCAAGCCCAGGTATTTCAGTGCCTTAATGTGCCTGAGAACTTCTCTGGTTTCATAAGAAAAAGGCAAAGCACGGATTGGAATACTAATTCATTATTATTAGAAAGGAGTTTCTGTGATGGCAATCACTCTTGGTCCCATATTAACACTTTTTTTCCAATTTCCAACAACAGTGTAGTGAAACAAGAAATTAGTGCAACAACAGCAGATTAGTGCAACAGCAGATTAGTGCAGGAACTGTTGAAGGAAAAGAAAACTGAGATTTACAAAAGTCAATCAGATTTTTCAAGTGACATGGGAATGTAAGCATTGTTTATGTTTGCACTTTGGATCTGCCTGACAACAAGACACTCATTATCCTCATATCCTCATTACATCCTCTGCAGTCTTAGGGAAAACTTTTAGAAAATGTTCATATGCTGTGTATTCCAGGGGTG